AGTCGCCATGAAGGACGGCACCCAGTGGGCTGAGCTGGCCGGCCACGACTACGTCTTGGACCTGGTGTCCGACCTGGAACTCATCCGTGGCTTCCCAAAGCATAAGTCCTACTTCATTGTTGCCTCAGAAGGGCCGGAGAGAAATATTGGCAGCAAAGCGTAAGTAGCAGAGGCGACTTGCTAGCTCTTTCTTTGAACAGTTCAGTGCAGTTTCAAGAGCATGTGGACACAGGTTGCGGAAGGTTGTTGAAGAGAACAAGACTGGGTGCCATCTTAGCATGGAAGTGCCCAACCCTTGTGCTTGGGATGCCCAGAGATCAGGGACTGCACTGCTGACACAAGCTTGCTTTCTGTTTTGCCCTGAGGGATAGCTAAGTCGGTAGAGCAGGAGACTCTTAATCTCAGGGCTGGGGGTTCGAGCCCCATGTTGGGCTAAAGATTCCTGCATTGCAGGGGGATGGACTATATACGATTGCTTTCAACTCTATGGTTCTGATTCTATACAGATGTGAAACTGCCCTGATGTTATCCTAGTTGCTGCCATAAAGGATGCAGCTTTTGGTTTTGATGAATCTGTGCCTTTACCTTGAATACCAGTCAGATCTGCGCACGGTCTGGATCTTCCCATGTGCTAACCCAGTCCTAGTGAAATATACTCGGAGTCGAGTGTGGATTTCATGCTCTTTATTCAGCTCATAATAGTGAGAAATGGAAGTTCCCCAGAAATGTCTGCTTTATATACATTATTTACACAATGGGCCCCACGTGATTGGCTATTTCTGGGATTCTCCTGTAGGCCAATCAGGTTGCGGATTCACTTCCACCTGGAGTTGGATTGGGTGGCTCCTGCGGACCAATCAGACTGCTGCATTCTGGATCCTATTGTTCTAGGACCAATCAGACTGCTGCACTTTGGATCCTATTCAACTCAGTACATAACACTTAGGAAATATTTAAATATGCCCACTTCCAAAACCATAAACAATATTAGCAAAAAGAGGGGGGGCAGGTACTAGTAATAAAGGCTGTTCAGCAACAACAAAACTATTTTAAACATGTCAGAAAAACTGAGAACCCTTTAAAATATGAGGCTCTTTTAAAATCAGTGGCACGGCCAACAACACTCCCACTACTTTCAGCCCCCCAGGCACCCCCTTAGCGGCAGGGGTTAAACCCCCCCATGCCTCTCACAAGCCCATTTTGGAACACAACCCAAAATGGGAAGGAAAGGAATCCCAAAGAGCACAGCACCCACATAGTTCTCTGCAGAGTGTACTCACAGCCCTTCCTGGACAAGGGTTCATGACTCGCCCAGGGAGGGCAATAATCTCTTGCCAAGTAATGAAAGGGAGGGGCCAACACGGGCAAAACAAGGCAGCCCATTCCCTTGTGGACAACCTTCCAGGGTGGTGGGTGGAGCCAGAGAGGGAAAAATGGGCGGAGCAACAGCTGTGACTCTTGCCTTCGTACAGGTTACATTTCAGCATGCAGAAAAGCAGAGGTTTCGACACGTACCCCTCCACCCAGGCGAGCAAGAGGCATTATTCTAGTTTAGGGACATGCTCCTGCCATGCCAAAAGCATTTAAGGGCACAAAGCAGGGCTCCTGATGGGGGCACTCTTGAGTTGGGCTTAAGGAGAGTCCCCAGGGCTGGATAGAGAGGACAAGCAGCCCACAGACTGGAGGTTCCCCACCCCTGTTGTAGAGTTTAGAAGAACAGTGTGCAAGCATGAAACTCTGCATGTGCTGAATGCCCCCTGCAAATAATAAATATTTCCAGCTGGAGTTTTATTTTACCTTGACATTTCCCCCTCTGCTCACTCTCTCTTCTCTTCTTGGTGCCACCCCCAATTTGAAACATGGTGTTGTCTGCCCTCTCTCTCTCCTCCTCCTCCATCTCCCATTGCTCTCCTTCCCTTTTATCCTTAGAGTATTCAGACACAGTTTGGATTCTGGTGAGAAGGTTCCTCCTCCGCCACTTATGAAGGCCCCTACGGTGGCCCCCACCAACCTGCCAGACTCAGAAGGATATTGCAGCCATGGTAAGGACCAAGGGTTCGTCCACCCTTCACTGGTCCTGCGCCTAGAAAGCAGGTTTTCTGCTTGTTCTGTGCTTTCTAGGCATGGATCCAAGCAGTTTTACATTTGCCCTGCTGCTTTCATTGTGAAAACCTGCTCTTTAGCGCTGAATCGGAGCAAACGTCAATCACGGAAAACTTGATTGACATTTGCTCCGATTCAGCAGTAAAGAGTAAGTTTTCCTGAAGCGAACTGGGAGGACGAGTGAATGTATGGACAAGCCCTGAGCTTGCCGCTGTGTGTGTGTGTGTGTGCATGACAGAAGATCATAACATCGCTCATAGAAAAATGTCACCTCCCCTGCCAGCCACCTGATGTCACAATGATGTCAGGTGACCCATTTTTATTAAATTATTTGAGGGCATTTGCACCTTGCTCTTCAGCCAAAAGGACTCCCAGAGTGACTTCCATGCAGTCAATTAAAAACAGGCAGTCCCTGCTTTGCAGACTTGCAATGCAAAAAAGAAAAGAAAAGCACACTACACAAGGGTAAAAGCGACAGAGAGAGTAGATCGGGAATCAAACTCAGGCACCAATTCTTAAACAGTTGCTCTTATAATGACCAGCTGGGACAGTGCAGGGGCAGGACCTAGGCTTTTGGCAAAGCTGAGCCTTCAGTGTCCCATCTCTCCCACTGAGGCAGCCTGATGGAATGGCTGCCCCCAGCTGGCAGCTGAGGGGAGAAGAGGCCGGATGGAACATTTTCCTTTGCCTGCATGGTTCAAACTTTTTTGTGCTGCCTCTTTGCGAGCCACAACGATCAGCTGACGGCCATAACGGTGTCTGAGTGGCAGAAGCAGCATCTGTTGAAAGTCCCTCTTTGCCCACCATCCCCCCTCCTTGCCCTGTGATATTTGTTTTATTGGATTTGTACAAACTAAACACAACAATAACAATAAAGAAATAACACTCAAACCCAAACAGAGGCAAACTCAGTTAGCCAAGACCCCCTTGCTTCCATTATGAAAGTATCGGTTATATAAAAGATGAGTTAAACCAGGATGTCATTCCACCATGATCTGTGTGGGACAGGTGACTGGTAATTATGTTCCTTTGTCACAGCAGATGTAAAAAATCTCTGCCTGTCCACATCAAAATGATCTGCTTGAATAGTGTTCACCTGTACCTTCCTTTGTGCAGTCAGTGTTCCATCAAAGCCACAGACCATAGTGGTGGGTGCAAAGTTTCAAACGCATTAGAAACTGGGGCTTGCCAACTCTTCTACTACCCAGCTTACAGGAGCCTCATCCTCCATTTCTGATTAATCGCCCTGGCAACCCTGATTTTTGGGCTGAGGGACCCCATGGGAATCATCACATTATGAGGACTGCTTTCTGGCTAATTCTCTTTTATTTGTCTTTCTGAACCCGGAAGCAGATTCAGACACGTTCAGCGAGCCCCGAAGCCAGAAGGGGTTGGATCATTACCTGGACAGCCTTTTTGACCCTGTTCTGTCCTATGGGAATGGGGTAAGGAAAGCGCCGTCCCCTCCCTAATCCCCAGACGCAAAGTGGATGCTACACAGTCAGGCCCAGTGTCCTGTTTCTCAAAGGACACCTAATTCTCAGAATGCTGGAAGGGAGATTTCTTCTGGTGTTAGCGGCCAAAAAAAGGTCTCTCTCCCAAGTGGTAAAACAGATTGTTCTGAACCTCAGATTTTAAAGAAAGTAAAGAAAAAAGAAGCAGGAGGTGAATGCATGAAATTCTGAGGTGTGCCAGGCAGCAGTGTTATCTGGATTCTCTGTCAAACGTGGCAACAAAAAGGACAGCAATTTTCAGGCTCAACAGCTAGTGAGGGAACAGTTACAAGACAAGCCCCCCCCCCCAACCACTGCACCAAATATTGGCATGATGCAGGGACAACATTTGCAACAAGGCAGTATGAAAATACCTAGATAGAAAGACTGGTTCCCATTCAGATCTTGGAGTTTGTCATGCTGGGAAAAAGCCTAGAATTTAGGCCTTCTTGTCTTTGCGCCACCCTCCTCCCCCCAAGCGCCAATGCTTATTTGTTCTGTCCTGGCCCAGGAACTGGAGAAGCCGGCTGCTGTCTCCCACAGGATGAAGGGAGGAGGCCAGATCGGAGCAGGGAATGGAGGCCAGAGCAATGGAGACGGTGTACCAGCTGAGGGACCTCAAACAGCCGGTGAGTGTAGGCAGAGCTACCTTCCACGGCCAAACAGTGAGCAACCTAAGTGAGGTCAGCTGTGAAACAATGGATGTGGAATTGTTCCTTGGAGACAAATCGAGAGAAAGCCTCCTTTGGTGATTTCTTCAAAGCCTGGTCTTCCTAGAGCAGGGGCAGCCAATCTGGTGCCTTCCAGAATCTTCCAGAAGCTGTTGGATTGTTTGTCCCAGTTGGCATCGCCAATGGACAGGGGGCTGGCAGTTGTAGTCCAACAAGATCTGGAAGAGGCACATGTTGGCTACGCCAGTCCTAGGGAGGGGTGTTCTCTGTCCTCGGACACCTTTGAAACATCCAAGGAACATCAAAATGACAACGATTCGTTTTGTTTATGAATCACTTCCCATTAGGCTTCCCAAAGCAATGTACAGTGGTACCTCGGGTTACATACGCTTCAGGTTACAGACTCCGCTAACCCAGAAATAGTACCTTGGGTTAAGAACTTTGCTTCAGGATGAGAACAGAAATCCTGTGGTGGCGTTGCGGCAGCAGCAGGAGGCCCCATTAGCTAAAGTGGTGCTTCAGGTTAAGAACAGTTTCAGGTTAAGAACGGACCTCCAGAACGAATGAAGTACATAACCAGAGGTACCACTGTACAATGCAATAAAAACTTATTTAGAATAATTGGATATAAAAGAAAAAGCTGAAACATTTACATATGCAAGACCTTTAAAAACCAATTTATAGATACAAAAACAACTTTAACCACACATATATAAAATCAATTCAAATTTGATACAGATATTAGCTGGGATTGAACCTACGACCTTCTGCATGCCAAGCAGGTGCTCTTGTCCTGAGCTATATCTCTCCCTGACCACAGCACCTGTCACCCCACCTTTGTAAAAAAAAGTTCTTATTAACAGCGTCTGTGTACCACACAATAACTGACCTTGTTTCTATTCCCCACAGCAGCAACAAATGAGGCCTTGTTGTTGGCACAGCAAGCTTTCCGTAACCAGCAGGAGTTGCTTCTGGTAAGTAAAGGCAGGACTCAGGAGGCATACATGGGGGACGATGGCATCGTTCGAGGGTTTGGATAAGGAATGAGTTATCTTATAGAAGTGATGCTATAAAAGGGCCGTGCATTCCTACGTTTGACGAACTGTGCTTCCAGTTCTGACCCAGCGCCCTGTCCTGCTTTCTGTTTCTCCATGTACAGCATTCACAAGTGACATGCTCAGCAGACTAACAAACAGTCTTCTCAACCTCATTTCTGTGACATCTAAGTGCACCCACAATGGCCTTCCTTCCTTCCTTTTGCTTTTTCTTCCTGGGATCATAGGATGTGCCTTTTAAAATTGGCCACTCTCTCTTTTCTGTCAGGGTTCCTGCACCTTTAACTGCCACTTGGGGCCCTGCTGTTAAAAGCGCAGGAGTCCTGCTGGAAAAAGAAGGGTGGCAACCCTAACCCCTGCCCTTTCTCTCTGGGGCAGGCTCAACACATGTCCCAAGTGGAGGCTCTCCGCCGACGGCAGCAGGCTGCTGTAGCAGCGTTGGCTGGTGCAACCTCACTCAGTGCAAGCCCCAGGTCTCCCCAGCACAGAAGCCCTTCCAGGACCCAGAAGAGCGGCACCTATGATGCCGGGCCTCAAGGGGGTCTACCTCCCCAGGTGAGTCTCTTATGCATACAGGTGATGAGACACAAAGAAGATGCCTGCGGTCCTTGGTTCTCTGGTCAGTGGCTAAATACAAGGTGGATGGCCCTCTGGGCCCCTTTAACCCAGAGATGGTTGTTGAGCGCAAGACATAGCTGGCAGTGACACATGGCTGCATTTCCCCCAGTGCATCACTGGTTGCAGTGCCTCCTCTAAATGTTGGAGTGGCCCCCACCCTCTGTCCATCTACCTCATCACTGCCATTATTAACAACTGCTGCCACCGCCGCTGCTCCCCGTCTTCATCTCTGCCACCTACTTCCTTATCAGACAGAGCCACAAAGGAAACAGGCAAGGACAGCTACTATGCCTCTGTCTTGCCCACAGCTGTTTCTTCCTTCCTTTTATTTATTTTTTATTTTTGTGTAATAATTTTTATTAGTTTTCAATTACAATAACCCAATAAAAGCCTCATTGTCACAATACCAAATTATAATACAGTTAATAATGCCAATTGTTCAGATGCCAAATTATATTATTTTGTTGGCCCCCTGCATGCTAGAATTGATTATTTGATAATTTACTTTTAGCTCTGCATTCCAGTTACACACCAGTCAGAATAACAAACCCTTCTAACCTTCCTTTAAAATAATAATAATAATAATAATAATAATAATAATAATAATAATACTGCTTTTATTTATTTTCATGGTTGTTGTTTAGTCGTGTCCAACTCTTCGTGACCCCCTGGACCAGAGCACACCAGGCACTTCTGTCTATTTTCATGGTACAGAAGATAAATTTTGAGAAAACAATTGTTACAACAGTAAACAACAAATAACCTGTCCTAATAAAATTACAGACTTTTATCATGCCATGTGTTAAAATTTCACTGGATTGGTCTAAAAGAACACGCCCCGTTTTCCCATGAGTGCTGGGTGGATTCTTGCCACAGTCTGAACAATTTATGTATTCAATAAACATTTGCCATATGTTATAAAAGGAATATGGATTGTGTTTGCCCTTTGCCGCTCTCAGCTGACAAGTTAGTTTCTCAGCCATGCTATTGACCATACTCTGTTACACCAAGAATCAATCTTCAGCCCAACACCAGATTTCCAACACCCGTATGGAAATGGTCAATAGAAAGGTTAAGAGGTCATCTTTAGGATAGCCGTGAGCAGACGGGATCCTAAGCCCAAGTAGTGCTAGTGCAGGGGACATTTCAGTTGTTTTGTTGTATACCAGGCTTATTTCTTTGAAGACAGCATTCTTCTTTGAAGATGTCACAACACCACCACATATGGTAATATGTACCTTTAACTGTGCATGCGCTCCAACAATTGGGATTGACTTCCTTGCATGTTCGGGATAGCCGCACTGGTGCATAATGCCACCCTTCTAATCCCTGCCAAGTCAGAACAAGGGCCAGGTGAGCAAACAAGTTGTAGTGGCGAAGAAGAAGAGCAGGCACAAGGGGGTCATGCCAGGGCGTCCCCCTGCTCTGGTGTGTCTCCTCGACAGTTATGCCAGCCTTTGATGACAACCCTAGAAGGTTGCACAGGTCTGGCTTGTGCCCTGTCCTTGGTCCCCTCGCGGCCCAGAGGCTGCTTCCCTCACCTCTTCTGAGACACTGCGTGCTTTTGCTGAAATCTTTGTGCCCTCCTTTAGGTGACCTCGAGCTGCCCGACACTGGATATCTCTCTGCCCGTATTCATTTCACTCACCTCCAAAGCTGGCCTGGCCATCACCGCTGGGTTTTGTTTGTTTTTTTCAAGCTGCGTGCCCAGTCGGGAACGGCAGGTCTTCAAATCCACAGTTCTGCGGTAGAGCAATGGACCAGGTTTGGTGGAGCTGGGGAGGGTAGGGAGCAATTTCAGGAGGGGCTCTGGGCACACCCAAATATCCAGGGAATGGCTTTTAAGTGTGGGGAGAAGACCCAAGAGAGGGCTTGAGAATGGTCTCAGTTTGGACTAGGTGGCTCAAGAGTACTGTTCTAGATTTTGTTCTAGCTCCCAGCTCCAGAATTCTGAGGCTGCGACTCATCCCAGTGTTCAATTTCACCCCCTCCGTGGCAGAGAGAAGCCGAGAAAGAGCTGGTAGACGGCACTGCAGCATCACCGAGCCTTACACAAGACATGCCGTTCTTTCAGAAATCTGGTAAGGAGTTTTTGTTTTTGCCAGTGGTGGTTGGGGCCAGAGGCAAAAACAGGCAGAGCAACGAATGCAATTTTTACCTTTGCATGGTAGACTATTTTCTATTGACACTCACCCCCACCCCCATTCAGGGAAGCAGAGAGGCATTATCAGAGTTGAATGACGCATGCCAGCCAGGCAAAAGCATGTGGGGTGCGAGGCATGGCTGGGTGTGGACTGGGGAGAGTTCAGAGAGCCAGAGAGAAAGGCCTGGAGGCCAACATGTGGCCCCTGGAGCCTGAAGTTCCCCAACCCACAATTTACACAAACAGGCCACTGTTGTCTCGCTTCTTTTTCTGTCCCTCCTTGCACAGATCCCGCCTCCAGGCTGCGCGCTGGTGAGCTTGTCCGCCACTCCAAGCTGAACTCTGAGTACATTCCGGAGCCGACACAGAACATCCGCAACATTATCAAGCAGTATCAGCAACCTGCACGCATCCCAGAACCTATCAGGTCAGATCCAGGCTCACGAAAGCTGGAACCTCTTCCAATCTTTAGGCCCCGGACAGACGCAGTTGTGCCAGCTCATGCTAACATGGAACCTACATGTTTAAATAATGTCAGAGACTGGCAGGATGCTGGAGGGTGCACACCGAGGGGAAGGGGGGCTGGTGTCTGACTTGGGAAAGGGGGCCAGTGATTTGTGGGGATCTGTACTGGCCAGGAGGCAAGAATCAGAGGCAGGGGAAGCTTCAGAGCTGGAGGGTGGAGCGCAGGATGGGTCGGAAGAAGAGGAGAAAGAGGCAGGTCAGGCAAGTGAAGGGCTGGGTGCTTCCTCACCCTCTCCCACACCGCTGTCTCGCAGAACCAGGAGGGGATTGAAAAGGGCGGAGCAGAGGCAGCTGCCACACAGGTGTGGTCTCCGGGTGCGTGCATGCAGCCCATCAGGGGAAGGTACATAAATTTGGTGGAGGGGGAGTGCTCCCCTGCTTTTCAAGCTGCTCCATAGAGCAAAGACCTGGGAATAGCTGCCCCTAGACGCTAAACTGGTGTGCATGGGTATTCGGAGCTGCGGAAACTGCTGCAACTGTCAGCTTTGACAATAAATGCTATGTGCATTATTTTGGGCCTGGGAGTGTCCTTGAGAAATAATAATACCAAGAAATAATAATAGCCGTACAAGTTACCATAGGCCCTCCAGGTGTCCAAATAGGCATCCACCCGAAATGGATGCCTATATGAGATATGTCTGAATGTGGCCGGGGGCAGTGAGGTCCTCAGACCATGGTGTAATAGATGGCTGGTGTTTCTTCTTCCAGCTTTGAAGTTCAAGTCTCTCAGCGCAGTCGCAAACCACCGGCTTGCTTCACAATCTTGAACTCTCAAGACGGTGCTTGTGAGGGTTCTACAGGGTGAGTCCTTTAAAAGAGGCCCCATGGAACATGTGTATTCTGTATCCTCAGGGCCTCTTTTAAAGGATTCACCCTGTATTAGGGAGCTGGAGAGGAGTGCTTGCATGAATCCCTTGGTGGTTCTATATCTATACACCTCCATTTCTTTGCAGGAAGGAAGGCGGGAAAGTATTTGTGAAGAAAATGGATCCCCACGAGGAAGCCTTGATGATCCTGAAAGGACAGCTGGCAGCCATGGAGGCACCAGCGCGGCCTGCTCCGGTATGGTTGGGGGTGACTGAGTACATGCATCACAGGAAGGCAGGGCCGCCTTGTGGATTAGGGAAACAGGATGCTCTATGAGGAAGCGCCAGTTGTCTGTATCTATGCAGTGCCGGCCAGCCCAACTAGGCTCAACCCATCCTGAGGGTCTGTTTCAGGATGGGGATAGGAAAGCCAGGTGTGCTGCAGGCAGTGGCCTGGCCCGTGATGGGCCAATGTCAGTGGAAGTCACCTCAAAGGTGAGACACCAAAGAGACGTATCCCTCTGCTGTCTCCCCTTCTGGGACGCCACTGAGGAGCCAAGGACTGCACCCACATGGAAGTGGTAGAGAGCTGCTGGAAGGACCGGGAGTGAAAGGCAGGGAAGCGGAGATCTCCCAGGGTGAGGAGACAAGGAGAGGAAAG